GTGTCTGTAAGTCTACTTAAAACGCGTAGGTATCAGTGGAGACAGCTGTGACATCCTCGTCTTATGATTCTGCCGAGACAGTACACTATCAAACCTTTCATGACGTTCCCAAGCTACATTTCTGGTGACAAAAGCTCAGTGAAAGTCTCCTGAAGGATTCATCTGTATCCTAATATTTCCAATCCAATTTAACTGCGGCAGCCGGAGTGGTCTGAACACCAGTTTACAAATCTTTGCTTTCCAAGACTCTCTGTGCTGAAGGCTTGAGGGGTTCAATCAATGGTGCTTTGATCTCGGCTGGAACCATAATTATTTAACATTGTTACAAGGATTTCTCTAATCCATCCTACCATTAAATCCCTTTTACGCCCTCATCTTCTGCAGCCTAATCTGCAACCGGGTGCTGCGTTTGTCTCTCTCCCATTTCGACTCGCCCCACCTTTCTTGACGACACCCTGACTTGAGCCTGAACTTAAGTGCTGAGTTTTTAAATGCTTTGTTTATTGCAAGCTTAACAAGTGAAATGCAGTTATAACTAGTTATTCACGCACTCTCTATCAGTAACATTTGGTGTAAATCATCAAGTTTGAATAATTCTAAAATTGAGAAATCTTCTTAAAATTGCTAAACTTGTTGTACTGAGACCCAAACACATATATACATATGAAAATGGAGTTTCTGGGAAAATGAAGACATTTTTGTGTCTTCATCGTACAACTACAGTTTGGGACCAGATAGCTACACCCATTTCTTATAGTCTGCTCCTTAATTTTTTTCTTCTTTTATACTTAGTTAAATGCTTCAGTGGAATTTTAAGCTTCCGGTTACTGATGCCAGAAAGGTTTATTTCCATCTGTTTTATCCAATGATTGCTTTGACTCATAACAAAAAAGGGTCTGTTGTCCTTTTGCAAATATTTGCATGTCTGTGTTTCACCGTGATATAAATAGCTGTATGGGCAACTGCAAACATTTGCTAAGGCACCTGCCACACTATCTTGACCATCTGGTCCTTTAGTTCTCCTACAGTAGCATGACATATGTGCATCCTAACTAAAGTGGTTATTGTTTTCTCTATATTTGGGTAAAAAGATGCTTTAGATGACACAGCCTTCTGTGATGACGCCAGTCCAAAATGAATTTTTAGCAAATTTGTAAAGGACAGAGAGATAGGTGGGGGTGATTTATGTATTTCAGGGGAGGGTGTTCCTTTTGGCTCATTCCAAGTCTGTGCCTGATGGTCAGGTAGATTCTCAGATGGCCGCTCCTTCACCTGACCCATGTCTTGCCCTGGTCAGTGCCCAGCTGGCACCGGGAGCTGAGCAAGCTGGGCCATGCCAGTCATCAGGAAAAAGCCAAGTGAGAGGATTTGAGGATGGTGACGATCGTATCACTTCCCTTACTGCTCTGTCACACTTATCGCCTCTCACTGCATCTCCTCGTTCACTGTGGGCTGTAGCTGTATTTGCTGCAGTATCAAAAATGCTGACGTGTCATTGTTTGATGCTGAGGCTGACATTTACAATGAGATGTCACTCAAGTTTTTACCTTTGTGCTTTTTTTTTATTTTCGTCAGTTCATGAAGCTTCAATGTTTTTATCTGACACTAACACACTGTTGTGTAACACAGTGAAACAAAATTACAGCGTATGACAACTTGTTGCACCAAACAATATTCTGTCTCACGGAGGAGACAATTGCAATGATATGGCAATGATTATAATTACTGCTCTTAACAAAACCTTGGATTTCCATGAGAGGGTGTGGTTTACATGGGAACGTATTTAGATAAGGCTGAGAACAAGTTCATTAGCGGAGTAAGCTAACTAACACACGCCGTTCCCAATTAGCCCAGAGCAGAGTGAGTGCGAGAGGATGAGACGGAGTCAGATTGCAATCATTACCACTGTCAGAAAATGAAAAGAATTGCGTGGAACGGTATCTCCTAAATCAGAAAGTGATTGTGGAAAATCCGTGACGAGAAATGAGCACGAGACAGAAGATCAGTGCGCAGATTTGCTTAAGGACATACTGGCAGAGAGAGAAAGGGAAGCTGACTGGGTGTTCCACATCAGAGACTCTGCAAACATCGAAGAACCAGTCATCAGATTAATAGCAAGTCATTCAGCGCCGTTCTCTACTGTTCTACAGAAAGAGAAAGAGAATCACAGAACAGGGGGGCAATCGTGGACAGCACTCGACATGAGCGGCTCAAGTGGAGATGAAACGTGCAGGACAGAAAAAATGTTCAATTACAGGATATAGATTGTAAAGGCTTTTGTTGTTACTCAGCAAAAGGGAAACGGAATGGAGGTCCTTCAATAGTATCACCAAAGCAGGTGGCCATGTTCCGTGTTAGACCACCTCATTAAAAGACCTCACTCTCTTTTTATGTTAACGGCCATTACACATCCTATTCAGATGCACACACGCGGGGTGATTAAAAATTATCTGTTGGCGATCATAATCACACCTGCTTAAACTTAAGCCAAAGAATAACAAAGAACTTTTGAATGCCCGACTATCGGCACACTGACAAAGAGATTAAAGGGTAGACAGTCCCCAACTAAATAAATTTGCTTTTAATCGCTGCGAACAGGAAGTCATGTCATTTCCAGTGTTCCTATCTGATCGTCTGATTCTCCTCTTTATTCAAATTATAACATGCCCATCTGACTTTTACAGCACAATGGGAAAAATTAAAAAGGGAAATGACCTTTCATGGCAAACCACGATGGGAGAGTGAATGGCATTATTATGCACCAAGATTAATTTCGGCCCACTCTGTAGTGTCCATTAAGAAAACAGAGGACAAGAACACACACACACACACACACACACACACACACACACACACACGGTGTATGTCACTCACTAATTGGTTTGTAACTTACACAAGTGTGTTACCCTGCTCTGTGCTTCCTGCGGCTCTGTTTGTTTACTGTCAGTTTCACTTGGAAGTCACAATCAGATTAAAATCTTATTTACAATCCTAATCCCCATAATCCCTTGCTGAATTCAAATTTGGAGACATTCAATGCACTGCCAATTAAAGCTAGTTTTTAAATATTATTTCGAGCTCTGAAAATGACAATATGTTATATACGTGACAATATGTACTTATATTCAGTCAGTCTTCAGTTACTTTGTGGAAATCGCTTACCGATCTTTTTTATATGAAGTTCAGTTCAAACAGTCCTGTCTTGAACAGTCACATGTGAACCCAGCAGGTATCAGTAGGACGTTGGCACAAGCAGTAGAAAATATGGACGACAACTGTGTTTGTATTTACAGATTATTTAGTCTGTGACTGGTTGTGTTCCCTTTTATCCAAATAAAGTGAAATGTCTAAGAAGGTAAGAAGACAGTGCTGTGGTCTTTAGTGTTGATGCTAATTTATATCTGCTAACCAATCGGGCTGATGTTCAGTAATAGATGAACACACACATTTTACACCCCCTCCTCTCTGCACCACAACGATCCTAACTGTTTACATGAGATACTGCTACAAAAATGTAAGTCTCGCTCCATTTTCTCCTTCTTCCCCCCGTACAACAGTGACCTCCTCTTCATCTAATTCCCATTCTGATGGCTAAGTAGAAAGTGCGAGCATAATTACAGTCAGTCATACATCTCGTCATTCTACATTTATCCCTCCTTTTCAAAGAAAAGTATTTTTAAGCTCAGCATTTTCTCGCCCAAGCGGGGCCTTTTCCCTGCATGTGTTGCCTTCTTTTTGTCATGGCCCCCATAGTTCTGAGCTGACCCCCTCAGTCCTGTCTCTTGACTGATCACAGTGATGGTTTATTACTGTCGTCCTGGCGCTTATCTTCAGCTAGCAATGCTCATTTCCTTCCACAGATTTAAATGCAAATGTGAAATTTAATGATAAATGCATTATCTGATAGGTGCGATAACACTGATTCAGTGTCAGTATAAAATACACACCCCAGGGGGCTTCGAGCTAGCAAGCGCAACTTGCCCAAATCCACTTTCTAGCTCTTTCTCTCCCTCTCTCCCTCCCTCCCTTTTTCTTCTTTGACAAATGCATGTACCTGCAACACATTTCTTTAGGTCAGTTAATGCAGTGAGAGGAATTATATTTTGTGAGTTCAGCAGTGTGGGTGCAGCGATTGCTGAGCAGTAATTGCTGTACAACGTTCTTGTTTAATGTAATATCAATCCCAGTGATGATGTGAGGCTCTGCTACCAAATAAATAAATAAATAAAGTGAACTAGACCTGCAAGCATTTATGAAGGGCTCAAACATAGCTTATAGTGGTGAATGTTTGTGTGGCTAGTTTTATTTGTAATTGTGTTTCCATGGCTGTTCTTGAACACTGGGCATCGATATTGTTGCATTTTCACCTTATTATTTCCTGCCACTGATAACATCTCCATGTTTAAACTTAGCCTCACATGTTGTGCTTTCTTCCTTCGTCCATAGAAAATGAATGGAGATGTGATCACCGTGTTTGTGACGCCTGTGCTCCTGGTCCTGATCAAAAACAATGGAATCCCAGTGGAAGTGTCTGTCAGTGGTCCGCGGCCGCTCGAGTCACGTGAGTTAAACCTCATGGTCTGTCATGGTATTGATATGTCAGAGTTTCAGGGTTGAAACGTCTCAAGTCAAAACAATAGGTCTACAAACGGGCATGCAACACTTGCCATGCAAATGATTGAAGCCACTCAAGGTCAAAACTTTGACCTATAGTTACTACACTGTTAGATCGCAGGGATTCAACAAATACGTTTTTGTAGTGCATAAGGCTTTGGTGTTTTTAACTTCTGTTTTAGATCAATGGCATTTCTGTTCAAAGTTGTCATTGTTTACTCCTAAAGGAAATAATATTGACATAAAATGTGTGACGCAACATCAAATGTACGGTTGCATTTGTTGTTCTTTGGCTGTAATACCTACATACTTGGCTAAAACAATGCCTCCTCTGTCCATCAATCCACTGAAGCTGTCTCGCTCACTAAGACAAAGAGGGTTCTTACTTGGTCCGTCCCATTCATCTGGTCCCACTGCAGCATGCCTGGTCTTGTCACTCTGCGTCTCCATCTCTGACTCTCCTGCTTCTCGGTTGCCATTCTTCTCTCCTGCAACACAAAAGTAAAAAAAAAAAAAAAAGTTTAACGTAAATTTAGGAAAACTCTTTCCGTAATTAATTTTTCAGGACTAATTTAATTAGCTGCTGCAATGTGCCAGTTCTGATGAACTCGGGGAAATTACCACAGCAGAAACCATTCAATTTTCGAACTCTTCCTTGTAATACTTGAACGTGGCATAATTAGAGGCTGTAAGTGAGCCATTGTGAACAGTTGTTTTTGTAGATGTACATTTAGTGTGAGCTCACCAGATCCAGCTGCACACGTTTATGTGAAAGGAGTTCCCAGGAGTGCTGGCTTGAACAGGAGGAAACCCAGTGGAACAGGAAGGAAAGCAGTGTGTGGAGGAGAGGTGGCTATTTATTACCTTTTGATCTATTGTGGAGTGAGATAGAATGCATGTTATGGGATGTAGTGCTGATTTACAGTCCAGGGGCTCCCACAGACCACGCTCAGGGATCTCTCTCCTGGATGTAAGTGCACAAAGACTCTGTTAAACAGGCCCTGTTGTCAAGTGTGCAGCCATTACTCTGACAGGAGAACCGGTTGAGTATTCGTAGATGCACTTAATTTAAAAATATTAAAATTAATTTCGCATGTCTTCAGAAAGCACAGTTTGTACTCAAAGTTTACAAACACATAAATCAGTGTTTTTTTTGTGGCTGTCCCTGGTGTGGTGCTCTAAATAAATCGGATGTGGCTGACACAGTGGGTGCACTAACTTTCTTTCTCCACACTCTGATAGAACTGCTTCAGGGAAGTATTGGTCGTTTTTTTGGAGGCAAACTTCTTTCACTTTTGTCACCATGTGTCGTTTTCCAACCTTTGATGTTTTAAACCCAATAGTGAACTTTTGAGGACAGTGGATTACTACACTTAAGAGAGATAGAAAACGCTGGCAGTGGTACATTTGGATGTCATGGTCAATAGTTTGATTAGAGGAAGAAGGAACATACGATAAGACGTCTAATGCTTTGGTTCCTTAATAGAATAGAGAATAGCTTTTAATGTCATTGAAAAACACAGTGGCACTGTACAACGGGTATCGGAGTGACTGAATTACCAAAAAAGCACCTAACATGTAATGCAATGACTAGAATGAGTTCATTAAAGTGCGCTGGTGGAGCAGCAGACCTGGACAGAAGGAAACCTTGAAATTGCAAATGGAAGCTTTCAGCTGTTAAACAGATAAACAGTGCAAACCAAGAGCTCATGACTAGAAACGCAGGTCTGTGTGTTCAGGTCTTCTTCAGTGTACTGTTATTTATATTCAGTCTTTTCAGAAGAAAACGTCATACATGTTAGGAACAGGTAGGATAATGCATGAGTGAAAAATATACTGTAGGTTTACTGCCAAATAGGATTGCAGCATCCAACTTTGAAGTTTTCTTCATCTGCAAGTACACTCGTATGATTCGGTTATGGATCACTGTGTCATTTTTTGCCTGGTTTCTCAGATCACAATTAAAAATATTCACTGTTATAGTGTTAAATTATCATCAAATTCAACACATTTTGCTACTTGTAGTACTGCAGTTATCTGTGTATTGTACTGACTCTTAAATTCAAGGATTAATCCTATGCAGCTACACCTTTAAAGCTGATTTTCTTTCCTTTTCTGGTTGTTCTCTTGACTGCAGCCTGACCAGTGCCCTCTGTATCTCTGCTCTGGGACTTTGTACTGGGAAATGCTATGACACATTGCACATTTGTTTCTCAGTTTGATTATGATCACATCTAACTGTGACTACTTCACTGCACTGATCGTCAGTGTTGCAGCAACAACTACAGGATGCACACTCATGCACTTTATTTGGACTCCAGTTATATGCCCTTAGTTTCACATCCACCAAAAATATCCTGCAGGTGTAGCTTTTTTGGACATCCCTCTTCAAAAAAAAAGTTAGAATTGTTGTCAAAACAAGGCATGTATGTCTAAAAAGTGTTTCTATGGGGAGGTTTACAAAAATGTCCTACTTAAAGTCCATGAGGTCATTATGACCTAGTTTTGCTTATGCAAGCGTCTGCTTGGGATGGGGATTGCTCCCCCAACTCCTCTTCTCTCTCTCTCTCTGTATTATAGTGACGCTCACTCAACTAAATTCCCCCAGTATTTATTGGTGGGCCTGGAAAACCTCCTTAGCATACGAGGCTCATATTTTGACGAGGATAACAAAGGCTTGTATCAACAGTTCCTTTCAACGGAGCCGAGTTTTAAAAAGCTGGAGAGATAACATTAAAGGCACTACCTTGATCTCAGGCGAACATGTTAAGCCCTGTAACGAAACGTAGTGGAAGTGTTTAATTACAGCCCTGGAAACGAAGCTACAAGATGATTCCTTAATTAAGCAGCGATTAAGGATTTTCTGCCGTCTATCTAACGCACTTTGCAATGCATTTTAAATACAATCACCCAGGCAACCTCGCGAGGGAACAATGTCACAGGGCTTTGATGAAGTTTTCTGCACAAATGTCATAAGCAAAAAGCAGAACAGAGGAAGGAAGAAGTGCTGGAGCAGCACTTGTTTGATGACAGCACAGTTTGACAAAACCCAGACTACAAACTATGAAGGGGAATACAAAACACAAAAATAGCGAGACCTAGTTTTAAGGAAGGAAAGTGTTGACCTTTTCGGAAATAAACCGAGGCACTACATTATATTTACAGGTTTACTCTACGAGGCAGTGGGATGAACACCCATTAAATTCTTATCAAGGAAGACAGGTTGTCAGTGACCATCCTTCACATAATTATCTACATCATAATTTTCATCTGGCTTTGATTCCTTTTGTGCAGTCGAAAATGAGACACTTCAGGTTGAGTGAGGAGCGACTGAGGGAGAACAGAAGGGACATGGAGGGCTGGGGATGTGATGTGGGCTGCTGGTGCAAGGTTGGCGGGCATGCACGAGGAGCCAGTGAGCTGTTAAAATCAGCCCTATCTGTGCTCTATCAAAGGACAGCTCTCCAGCCAAATCACAGTCACACGCAGTGTGCCACACGTTCAGGTCAATAAGCTTATAGGCGATTTACACAAACAGTTCCTCGAGCAAGGTAGCAACAAAGTCATATTGGCTTTTTCAATCCCTTTTAGCATTGTATCCACCAAAGAAGCCCTTGAAAATGTCAATCTGCTGCACGTGACTTTAAGGAGCTCTGAGAACTCTAATCCCAACCACTCGTTCTAAAGACAGGCCACAATTATGGCTACATTTTATGTCTCTTTAGGTCTCACTGGGGTTTATGGGATTGTACTGGTAATTTATTATTGAATTGTTAATTGTCTTCCTTTGACATTTTTTTTAATCTCATTGATCAAATCAAGTATCTTCAGGTTTGCAAATGTTGCTCCAGCTACACTACAATATTCTCAATTTACACATTGCAAATGATAAAGAATGTGAAGAAAAGCAGATGTACTTTATTCCATTCCCTGTAGAGAGATGAGGTTAGCTGTACTTAAACAAAACATACAACCTCTCCACTAGATGTTGCAGTATCACACACATCGCACCTTTACCGCAATGCTGCGTTTATCGAATACCCTAAACAATTGTCCTTTTGCTTGACCTTTGGTTGATGATTTTAGAGTGTACTGTTATCGGGCCAAGGCCTGTCCTCCCTACAGCACTGGCAGTGCTTGTCACATGATATTGCTTATTTATTTGTTGATGCAGATTGTGCTGCAACAGATAAAGTTGATTCCAGGAAGCAACCTTATTCACCAAAGTCAAGCATAGCTGTGAGACTTTTCTGCTATCTGAAAAATACGCTCAAATTCCTTGCAATTTTGTGGCACACAGAGCACTCCAATGGAGCGAGGCTATTAGTGAAATGTTCTGCCACTGTCTCTTTAAATGCCAATAAATTCCCATCATTACAGAATCTGGCAGTTTTCCTCCTTGTCTGCAGCCCGGCTCTTTATCTCGCTCTGCCTCAGTCTCTGAGCATGTAGATCTGGCCCAGTTAGATTGTCATACTTAACAAACATTAATGATTAATTTCCTCCACTGAGTCAAATGGGGCTAAAGGGATGACTCGATTCATCTTATCGCACCACAAATTAGCATTTCCCCATATTCTCCAGCATCAACTGTGCATTAAAATTCCACATTTGCCATTCTGGGCACTGGCAGCTGTGGCAAAACAGCCACGGAGATGTTCCTCCTCTACTGCTGGAGATTGTGATTACTTCTGTGTTACACAAAGAGTGGCATAATTAATTCTGCACTTTTCACTTTGTTAGTGTGAAGCTCTGACGGCTGCAGTTCAAATGAACCACTGAGGGGGTTATTTGACAGGACAAGGTGTGTCTGTTATGGACTCAGCTTTTGTTTGTCACTTCCACTGTGAGAAAATGTTTGGGCCTGCTGCAGTGTTATCCTGAAATTTAACATGAGCAGTGAAGCTGCCGTTGGTGCTTTTTCTTTTTCCCACTACACAATTACAATTACACAATGACATCAGAAGCGTGCAGTTTACCTGCAAACCGTTTGTACACTCTGACTAGTGAAAAAAGAGGTGTTTTACACCTACGAGTTGAGACACGTGAAATGACATGTAAATTCAGTGTCAGAGCTAACTAAGGAAGTCATTTGTCATCACACACCACTTGGAACACGGCGAGGGAACAGCTTGTGGAAACACCCTGTGCTGAACTTCACAGCCAACAATAAAAGAGAGGCTGTGTCTGCAAGGTGAAATTTCACAATTTCACAAAAACCTCCTAGTATATCGTACATAAAACATTTCTTCCTTTTTTACAACTATGGCGTCAGGTGTGTGAATGGAGAATAAATCCTTGCTGTGGAGTCAAACCGAGCTCTTTAAATTTTGAAACTGACTGAGTAGGAGTTTGCTTGATGTAAAATTCTGTTCAAACTACAACAGAGGTCAAGGTCATTTCACCAGATTTGAGGCTTTTGTGTTCACAAAACTCATCTGATTCCTGGTGTGTTGGAGCAGTGTTTTTTTTTTTTTTTTAATTCAAGGTTTTTCGTTTTTACCCACACTGTTTATTATTGTTTAAAATAGAAATACCTTGTTGCCCATGTCGTTGTATCTTACTGATATTTATTTGATTATATCAGAAATTATTTGTAAGAACAATGTAATAGATGTATGTAGAGCATATGTTACTGAAACATAACCTATATTAATTATGTAGATTTCATTGGTGCAGTGATGTCACTTCAATTCTTTAACTAACAGTACACATATCTGGTTGCTATAAGACTTACAGTGATCCAAAAATATAACTTTAAAATTACCACGTTGACAGAAAAGCCTGAATAGACAAACAAGGACAAGAAAATAATGTAACTTTAAGGAACTAGTAAAAAGTCTAGAGCAGGGGTGTCCACACTTTTTTGCTTGCTAAAATTCAAATGAGCAGGCTAACTAATAACCACGCAAACTACCTAAATATAAATGTACTCATGTAGACTGAACATACTTTATTTATACCTTCCATGTTCAGGTACTGATTAATTGCAGGGAGCTGCAGGTCACTACCACACACATACGACAAACTAGGTCTAGAACCACGATGGGACATCAAGGTGCTCCACACACTTATCTGCGGAGCCCCCCTTTAGCTGCAAGGCTAAGGCAAAAGGCTGAGTCTTTGGTGGCATTCAACTTCTTGACCTTTGTGCCTTTAAGCGGCTTTACTACTTTACCGCACTCTTGATCAAAGTTAATAAGTGCTTCATATGTTAATGAAAATTGGTACTCCTCTTTGTGTTGCTACAGCTTTTTAATACCTATTATGGTGGGAAACTTTTAATGGAGGGTTTAGGTCCCCCTGACAAGCCCATTTCAGAAAGGGACTACGCAGATACAAGGCTAAGCTAAGACCAGAGAGTCGCTGCTCAGTGGAAGGAACCTCACACAGGAGACCGTGTTCTCCGTGAAGCAGCGGCAGATAAAGGCCATGGGATGAGTGGCTGCTCTAAAAATCCACATCCGATTCTGCACAGGGCTAATTACGGCATGCCATCACATTTGAGAGGGTTTAGTTAATGGAGGGGTTCTCTGTCCCCCCTTCCTTAGATGAGGAATAACACACTTTAAACCATTTAATGCTGCCAGGGTTGTGTCCTGTTTAATTCGTGTCAAATTCACATAAATGGTGTAAATTTACGGCATTGCAGCGTTAGTTTTAAGGAGATCAAATTGAGAAAGGAAATCGCAGGGGGAAAATGCAACACCTGATGGTTTCACACAATGTGGCTCAAAAAAGAGCCATATGGAGCGCAAATTATTGGGGTTTTAGAAGGCATTTAGAGACTTAGCTACTCTATCCTTTGATAAGTAAGTAATAAAAAAGGCTATGTTAAGAGTAGTATTTGACATGTAAGTACTTAGGGTTAAAACAGAGATTTTAAAGCCAGTTGTTTTATCTATAGCACGCGGCTTTGAAGGTCTTTGGCAGAAGTTGTACTTTTTTTGTCACAAATGTGTTTGTGTTTTATGGCCAAAAGGCTTTTTATAAGACCACACATTCTACTTTGAAGTGTGAATAAGTGTGTAAGAATACATTAGGATGGAGACAAGGGTAAAACAAACAAAGTGTAGCTGGTAATTACATTTTCTAGACCATTGTTCTGGTTAGCGTTGGCAGAGAACAAAAGGAAAACTCTATTGATAGGATAACTGGGGCAAAACTCTCCTAAAACACAAAAGTTATTTATTACCTTTTGGAATATTTAAATCCCACAGGGAAAATCAGTTTGAAAGTGTGAAAAACAAATTAAAACCACTCTCCTCTCTGAGAGTACTGTAAAAAGATTCAAAGCACTGGTTCTTCATTAAAAGTCAAATTCCAGGCGTCCGCGGGCCGGCGAGTGTACGTACAGGAACCTGAGGTAGTGAGAGGGATCTGTCTGTCATCCTCACACTGTAACCTGGAGCAGATCACAAATTAGTTCCTGTCGTGGTGTTCTGTGACCAAAATGAAACAAAACACACACCCCAAAAAAAGCAATCTAATTGGAACACAGTTCAAAGACGACGTTAGCGCATTTGGCGATGCTTTACAGAGCTGGACCTCCGAGCAGTAGCAGGTGCTGCTGAGCGTTGACAGAGCTACAGTGCACCCATTTACTGTAGCTCACCTTTACAATCACAGAGGGAGTGTTGCTGTTGCCAACGCCATCCCTGTCCCACATCAAACAACTGTGGATCCCGAGTGAATCGATGAGATCCAGTATCAAACTGAATTCTCTCACCTCACTGCACCTACACCAGTGGCCACGAGCCGTGCCAGCTTTGATTTGAATGAGTTGAAGAAATGTATTAACTGCCAATGGCAGGAGTCAATTTTCTTTTTGATTCCTGGCACCGTGCTTGATCAACATATTGTCCCAGCAAAAAGCATTAAAGGGAACACCTGCTTTTGGAAGGCAGAGTCCTGCAGTAGGTCTCGCATTTTCCAACCTGATTTATGAGAAAAGGAATGGCTGAAAATTAAAAAAAAAAAATAGGTGAGTAAAACTAAAGATAAATATGCTCTACGGAGGAAAAACAGAAAAGAAAAACAAGTTGGCCTATTTTTCATCAAGTGGGGCTGTGTTTTTTGGCAGCCACCTGTTTTATTCTGAAAGTCAACAATGCTATATTTTTGCTCTTAATTCTGGGATGTGACTGATTTCAACGGTGCTGCGACGACACAGATTATCATCTACTGCAGTAAAAACAGTTAAAAACACACACACACACAAAAGATTGATCGTAATTTGACCAAGGACAGAGAGAAAATGGACATTTGTCACTGGGGGGCAACGATGATATTTGTATTCCACAAAACATTACAGTTATATATTTTGAAGGTAATATTAGGGAGAGAATCTTAGCCATTGAGGAAAAAACACTGCTGCTCTGTTGTGGTGCTGATGTTATTTCTGCTGCTCTGATTGGCTTCAGATCCTGGCTTTATATACGGTCTACAATGTTGATCCATTTTTTTAGCTGTTGAGAAAAATGATTGTATTAGGGTGAGATGTTTGGATGCACGACTTCTGCTTCTTCTTGATCGAGCGCCTGTCATCGTTTGAAATGCTGAGGATGTAGCAGAAACCCGTCTGACTTCAGGTCTGCTGCTGACAGGTGCAGGTTTGACTTTGACAAAATGAGCGGTAACAGGTTTGGTCTGAAACCGAGCTCGGTCGCTAGGCAGGTAGAGGTGTCCGTCACAGAGTACGTGCTGTACAAAGTACTCACCTTTATTGCAGAAGTACTCCATGTCTTCGCAGCTCATGTTCTCTGTCTCAAACTCAGCAGTAAAGTTTTCCTCCGCCGTGAACTCTTCTTTGGCCAGGAGCTCGTTCTCCTCAGAGACACACTCCTCTTCCTCCTCCTCCAGGCCATCTTCAAGAGGACCTGAGGGAACACACGCACACATACACGCACACATACACACACACAAAGGTATATGTTCAGCAGTTTCATCACACCCTGCAGGCTTTCATTAAAAAACAGAACTTTCCTTGTTTCTTTTGTTAAGATACTACAAAGTTATTCATAGTCCTCCCACAGCATCGCACCGTCGACGGCATTCAATGAGTGGACATTTAAAATAGACAAATTTTCCGCTATGCCAATGAAGAAAATATTTCCATTGTAATTTTTTTTCATACCGCCTTTATTTTCCTTTCATTATATTTTATGTTCCATTACAGCCGTTATAAAATGAACCCTGAGAGAGTGTGTGCTCTGTGAAAAACAAGCTGACATGCAGCCAAGGTGAGCGTAGATGTTAATCCTGCTACCTGCAAAACAAAACATTACACAGACGGAGGGGGTTCGGGATGGGAGGGGGCAGGGGGGAGAAAAGTTCCTTTTCCAGACTTTTCATACAGGCACCATCATAGGAGGAGGAAAGAAAAATACTTTTATTAATTTGTTAGCCTTATCACAGGGTACAATGTTGATTTTCCATTTACATTCCATGCCTCAGGGTAATACACCAGTGCAATCTTAAAGGAGACACTTTTCCGTGTGATTAATTTTTACCCTCTCTGTGCAATATTATTTCTTTAAATCTAAACGATTTCAGACTTTTGCTCGTAGCTGTACATCTCTTTGGCTATTTACATATTACCATTTTTACTTCAATCAAGGGCGTTGATGGAATTACTGTACTGCTACCTGAATTGTATTAGCTGGAAAAAAACCCACCTCACCAGGCATTTGAATGTTATTAAGATAATGTGGATCTTGCAAACCTCTGCTTTCAACCAAAACATGTCTCCAATGTCAACGCGGGAATTAACGCTCACACTTCAAGTTTAAGGCTAGTTCTGATTGGAAATAATAACACTCTCCCAGCTAAAATAATACAACAGTCACAGAGGTTGTCGACTCGGTATTATGAGCTGTGTTTAAACTGAATAATCATATCAAATATTGTGCCTCTGCTGCCTGCTAGATGTGGAGGCTCTCTGCGTCTGCGCCTGTCTTGCGTGAGCTATGTCAGAGGCACATCCCAGAGCTCAAACGGCGTGCACTGATATCCTCTTGACACCTTTCAGCGTGTTTGTTCTATTGTAAGGGGGGGGGGGGGGGCGGCCCCTTAGCTTTAATAAAGCAATAATTTCAGTTCAGAAAATGGGGCTGCTGTGCCTCTGCTGTTTCTCTTTCTTCCCTGGCTGAACCTCATAAAAGACCCCCCTGATGTCCACAAACTGCCTGCTCTTTTCATTAGTCTTATAAATGACTCCTTTGTAGAAGCCAGCATCTGCAAGAGCCCCCACATTAAAAGAATTAGCGCACGGATCTCCATTAGACACTGTAGAGGCAGAGGGCTGCCTTTAAATTAGGATACAGTGTTTTTTTATGATCTTATCTGATGCCTTCAGCTGATTTCACCGAGGAGCCAAGTGAAGCGTGAAGTGACTGGATGAGTCTACCATCGTTTAAGATGATACTGGCAGATAAATATCACAGTATCAAGGGGAGGCTGTATGACTGCTGTTAAAAAGCAGGGCTGCCAGGCCAATTGAAGGTGGTGTGAAAGAAAGCAAGGAAATACATTTCTATACGCACGCTCGGTACACATTCCATTACACAGCTGAATAAGAACTGTGTGTACTACTAAACGATTCTTCTCTCTGTTGCGGGCGAATACAGCGCCGCCGATGCACCATAGAAAATAGACCTACAGTGTTGTGTAATAATAAGCGGAAAGCGAGATTAAAGATAAACTTCATGGTCAATAAGACACAAAGATTAGGGAGATAAGATGAGATAGAGCTGAGGTTTAATAGACTCAGAATAAGGGCATCTCACTTCCCCACTCCAGCTGATAGTAACTAAATGGAGCATTTTTGAACTGATACTGAGATACTGAAGGTCTTTCTAAATATGGAGAAAAAAAAAACCAAGATGCTCCTCCCAGTCAGAGACATTAAAGGCCCTCTGATGGCTAGTCCTCAGTGGATGCTGTAGATTAGAGTGTTTGCATATTTACATGTTTAGTATATCATACAGTATTCATTGCATGTGGAGAACCTGAAATTATTTCAGAGACAGCAATGATAAGAATAATGACTTTCTAAACGACCAGCACCGCACTCCTAACTCATTTTCTGATAGTGGTGTTTCTGCTATATTTAGTTGTGTACTGTTTAAAGTCCTGTCACATTCACTATGTGACCCGCTCCTGTTGGTGCATTTCTATAGGGGTCTGTAGTCCAACTGGGCCAGAGGAATGGGAGCTCCTCTGGAGTTTGGATGGTCAATGACACCACAGTCATGGCGACGTCATCAGTGAGCAGCAAGAAGTTAAAGTCTCATTACAGCATGCAGCAAAAAAAAAAAAAGAAAAGAAAAAAATTAAAAGAAAATTTAAATAAAAAAGCATTTGAGAAAAGGAGGGTGACTCTGGTGGTGGCAGCTCAGAGTAAACACAGATTTTTGAAGAGTTATAGGGAAATCTTCTGGGAGTCTGTAGAGCTGTTTTTATACATTTGAGCAACTGCATGTTTCATTTTCCCTCTGAGTGGGTGTCGTAAACCTTTACAGCATTTTCACAGAAAAGGAAGCCTCTTCCCTTATATTTATGCTTTCAAATGGCTTTTTGTTCTTTATTTTTCTTCTTGCATGAACTATTCTATACAATCCCACTGATCATATATTTACATAATTATGAGCAACAGCTCTCACTGAATATGTTTTATGAGGCTATGGTCTCACATTTGTCTTCCATCCTTCCCTCCCTATATATATGTGTGTTTATTTCATATAAGAAAATGACTTTTAAGTTAATTAGAATTCCCACTTAAACAGATTAATAATGCACTCTCTCTCACTCCGGCCAGTCCCTTCCTCAGGTTCTGCCACAGCAGTTGTCCACATCCAAGCCATTTGGCACAGTTTTAAGTCCTTCCTGAAACTCCCCTCCTCTTCTATGTTGATGTTTGGGGCTTGGTGGATTTGAACCCTAGACCCATAGAATGATAGGCAATCTTACCACTGACAATGGTGGACACCAGGCTTTGTTGAATCATAACAACAAAGAAACTGCAACTACAAATATCTAAATCATTACATTTATGTTTTTTTCAACCAAAATATAATGCACAAAAAAATAAGGAGGAAACTTCTTCTTATTCCAGCTCGGTGCACAGGTGTCTGTGATTCACCAGTCATCACCCATTCCCTCCACTCTGACCTGATTCATCCACATCATCCCATTCTTTATCCTGTGACTCAGTCATGCAGCAGGAACAGCCAATGCTAATAGAGACATTGGTAGCTGACTGCAAGCTTGATCACAGTGGCTCTTTTGTTCGTGGCGTGCCCTTCGTCTGATAGAGATCGACCATGCAGAGTGGAACTCTGGAGAGGGAATACGCCGTAATGCCCCATGCAGTGAGTCTATGAAATGAGGTGATAGTCAGAGACCATGTGATGGACAGAGGATTAATGATTCACAGAGGATGGGGAGCAGGGAAGAGGAGAGAGTACGGACAGAGGTGGGAGAATATGTGCAGGAGAAGCACACAGGTCTGAGCATCAGTGGACTGAACCACAAAGACAGACTAGCTTTAAAAAGGGTAGAGCGCTAAACAGATGTGAGCAAAACCGCAGGAGCGACTGCTAATTTCATGGCATGCTTTTTCATGTCATCCGCAATGTGGTGAGCTGGTGGTCGGGCAGTGATAGCGATACCTTGCATTATCAGCAGGCTCCACAGTGTGATGTGTGGATCACAAACCCAGCCTCCTCTATGGGTCCCTAATTAGAGGTGAGGTAATTGAATCTGACAGAACAAAGAGGCAGATCTCTATGAGCATGGAAATCTTTTTTTTTTTTTTTTTTGCTCCCACCTATACACATTTTCATCCAAACGGCTCATTGAAAATGTGTCCAAGCTGGCCTGGGGATAAAACGTAGCACCTGAGACTAAACACAAATGCATAATGCAGCCCTAAAATCCAACAGGACCTGGCTGCTCAGCCCAGCCAGCTCTGCTCCCTGTGATTGGCCCTTTGTGCCAACACTGATTCTGACTTCCAGGTGAACACATGCACTATTGGAATCTTATAACTTCTGCAGAGAAGTAAATATGGGTAGGAAAGGAGCTTCCCCTAAAGGTGGAGCATTTTGCAAACAAGGACAGGACAGAACAGGACTTGTGTATTGTTGGAAGACTTGGTACGTTTTTCTTGTGTACAGTTTAAAAGCCATCATTGCAGACATCACAACTAATTTCAATTTAATTGCCTGTTTAAGAACGTGTATGTCATTTTCTTAAAATTGCATTTGGAAAAAAAAGATGAGGAAAGTGAGAGAGTGAAAAAGGAGGAGAAAGTCAAGTGAGGAGAGGAGAGACCAGGGGCCATACTTTCTCCTCCGCTCTAATGACCTTTGGGAAGCAGAGGGCTCCCACAGCCTTAGAGGAGACTCAGTGTATATGCTACAGGGCTCAAGCCTCTAATTTAATCCTTGATCACTGTAATGAAATAGATACCATTTACGCAGCCCATAATGGCTTAATATGCTACAGGAACACTCAAAGGAATTTTTCATTTCAAACATTTTTTCCTCGCTCTGTGCAAACGATAGAAAAAAAGAGCAGAGACTTTTTTTTAACCATGTTGCAGACTGTGATTAAACTAAATGTGAAGCTAATGCCGTAACACGAGTTAAAAGTAAATTACCATTTGTGTATATCGTTTGTGAATGGCTCTCTCTCTCTCTCTGTGTGTGTGTGTGTGTGTGTTTGTGCGTGCGGCTGGGAGGAGTGTGGAACAGCTTCAGTGGAGACTGATGTGCTCTGAGCTGCAGTCTGTGACCAAGTATAAGCAATGGCATTGTTTAACTCCATATTCTAGTTGCTAAGCAATGTAATTCTCTTGATTAGAAATGGCCGCCTT